CCCTCATCCTTCCGTGCTTGTGAATGCATTGATCAATAGAGATATAGTGTATTGAAATAAGTAATACCGAGTAAGTGATATGGCTTCAGAAAATCAACTGTTTCTCTGAAGGTGAGCAAAATCGCCCGACAAAGTATATACTTTTCTGTAAGTAAAGAATCTGAGAAATCTAACAATGTGGTGAAACCGCCATTTTAATGTGCAAAGATGAGGAATACGATAGTTTGATGATGGTAACCCTGTCACAGCTGATAGAATGTACAAACTGATCAATCGAGATACCGTGTATTGAAACTTTATAGACCGTGACTCCTATTTTATGAAGACCTTATATTTAGGAACAAAAGCTACGAGTCTTGAAATCAAAACTACTGTGAATCTCACATCTTGTTCTGTTTGATCACTTGGGAGATTAGAAGCGCCACCTTAAGACTATTCTTGCCCTTGTCGACTTGTGGTCACTACATTTTTGTTTGTTGTTTTGTTTTTGTTTCAGAAATTACTAAAAGAAACTGCTCATGACATTACTTATGTCGATGGCATCACTTGTTTGAAATATTTCTCATAATTTGCAAACTGAAACCAAATTCTGATAGAGATTTAAGTCTCTATGGAACGTGTGTTGTCANAAAAAAAGAGAAGTTTATTCCGTAGCAAAATTGATCATCACAAAACACCAAAAATTCCGAAAAAAAGAGAAATCAAATTGAATGGAAACAGAACAAAACGAATCAATTAAATAGAGTCAATTCGTCGCAATAATGCATTAAAAGTATTTAACACAAATGGAAATAGATAATTACCGAGCGTAAAAAATAATAATGATGAAAATAACAACAACAACAATAACAACCGTTATAAATATGTGAAAAAAATTTTTTTTTCGAAACACCAATAATCGTAATCAATTGCGCAATCGTGCACAAATTTTGCATAAAATCAAAATTTGCGTCGAGATTTCCTCGGAACCTCCTCAAAAACGTCCCGTATAATAAGTGGATGGAAATTTCATGATGTGTTGACCGTTTCCTTGTGCTAAACCCAAGTAGCCAATATTCGGTAGAACATTCCACCTCAGAACCAACGTCACATTCGGATGATTCAACAGATTGCTGCCATCGTCCATGAAGTAGTATTTCGGCCATGAGTTCTCCTCATGAAGAGACGATAAATCGCCACGCATCACTATTTTATCCCATAGAACAACCTGAAATTCTTTCTTGTTCCACTGATCTTCGTTCAGTTGTCGCGTCGAATGCAATGCGATTTCAGCACTTAATTGCTCAATCATCAAAATTTGAACATCAAAAGAATCTTACTTCCAACACGACTTCCCACTATCATGTTAGATATCACCAAAAAAACATCAACAGTTGTGAGAGCATCCTTACAAGACAATTTCAGTCGTGCACCATAAACGTAAACCAACAACATTTCAATTCAACAAAAAACTTGTTAAATATCAAACGAATGATACGTTCACAATGAACAAGTAACTAGACGAACGAATAAATATGAACTGAATATCGATTAAGATTCACTTGATTCACTGGATTCGAAGGTGAGCTATATTCAGCAACCAGATACAAAAACAACTGCTTAACGTTCCAGTTGAATATGGGCGTCAAATCCGCATCTATCGACAGATAGGCCATTGCCACATCCGAACGTGCACCGTTCGCCGAATAGTCGGACACGCTTTTACTTCAAATATTACAATCAATACTACCACATGAACATTGATGTTCTTCCTATTATAACCGCTGTTAGAATACAATATGCATCAAAAACTGACACATTCTAAATTTACATCGGATCAGAATTTAATCATAACATTCCACTATTCATATTGATATGACGCGGTTTCATACATATTCATTTCCACTGAGAATACTACTACCGCTAGTTCGATTTCTATTACATTCGAGTCACAATTCTGTGAAAACGAAACGAAACAAAACAAATCGAACGAAACTAACACTCGGACATTGCTGGCCGATAACTGAACCGGAACAACTGGACCAGCCTGCAGGAACGATGTGAGGAATACACAGAATGCCATTGCTGACAGTGCGGATATCATGAATGCAAATATCGCATTCGCACGACTCCAAATTGTGTGCATTTCGGGATTAGTTGCTGTTGATTGATGACCCAAACACTTAAATTATGCTTTCAACATAAAATTAACAATCATTTTCACATAACAGAAATGTGCGAATTGGGTACTAGACTCAGCAGTGTTAAAGCATAATATGAAGCGAACACAATCAAAATAAGAGTAGCCAAGACGAGACGACACTCGCAGTACTGGAATAAAACCAATATGCGTTGCTTGGCAAACCATTAATACGTTGGAAGCTAATTGACGAAGAGGAATAAATCAAATTAAATGGCACCGATGAGAATTTTTAGCATCATTTCTGTATTACTGATGATGCTGATGAGAATATTGAGATACAACCATTGGGTAATATTAAAAAACTTGATGAATGAATGAACAATCAAGCAATCAGTTGCAGTTATACAAATAGAAGTGAACGGGCAATATAGACAATGTGAATCAAAAAATTCAATATTCTCATAATGCATTAACCGAATTCTTTTGACGCAATACCAAAAGTAAATGTATGTATGAACCATACAAGCGGTATGCTACAAACCATTAGGCAATAAAAGAAACCAAAAAGTGAAGAGATTTATTCATCAAATTTATCACATCTTGATAATATAAAAACTTCAAAATGGACCAATCAAACGCATACGAACGTACAAAATACCAATCACAATTAATATGCAAATAAAATCTGATCCAGAAGAGATCAAGAAGGATTCAATTAAGTATCGATATTCGGCTCATATCTTTGATTTGCGCCAATCGATCCAGATTATCCCACCACGCATGCAAATATCCTTGTCGCATCAGCAGTTCAAACCAAGGCGAAAACTTTTCTCCACCTGAAATGAATTGGAAAATAAATTCTTTGAGAAAAATATTAATTGGAATAAGGCGACCAACCCACTTTAACATACACATCTGACCGAATCTTAAACCTTCAACAAAGCGTTTGAATCAGGCTAACTTCATAACAATCCCATTGCCTTCCTTCATGTTCTAGTTCACTGTATCCAAAAAACAAACATGCTCATATGCTCTTCGTAATACCAACAAACCAACTTCCAAATCAAGTTCAAACAAAATCGAAAACATCGAACAGCTAAGACAGTCTCTCATCAAATAAGCACATACTCGCAAGCATTTGCTTTAACTTCTCGCGGTCAACAACAGCAATTTGTTCCACCTCTTCAGTATTGATATTGACTTTATCCATGTCAAAATCCGGTACCACAATCACATAATCGAGTTCGTATTCACCCCATTCTGAATCACTCATTGCCTTGTAAATGAAACGTCGCATCACCTTCAATCAAAACAACATCGGTCGTTCTCCCAACTGCGTCAAGATTCTCATTCATACGGAACTGTCGCAACAACTGTTCATTACAGAACGGAATGAATTTGACTAAACAAAAACAAATAAGTCTGCGTAAATTGCAAAATTCAAAAGCGGTTTGTGACAAACCGACCCAAGCCAATTACTCGCTTTGCTAGCATTATCAACGACTCCAACTACAAGCTGTAATGCCGCTTCAGTTCTATTATACAAACATAATTATTGCTTCTACGAAAGAAACAAATGAAGAGACAAGGAGATGGATGAATAAAACAACGAACATTCATCGAGGCAATGTCGATATCCTCAATGCCCAATTCATGTTTCAGTTTTCGTTTTGCCGCATTGCACACTCCCAACGAACTATCGCCATCGGGTGCCATCTCATTCACCGTCCATAACGGATGACTACAGCAACTGTTCGTCCATAGCGATGGAAATGTGATTTTGTGTACTGAGCGTTTTTGCAGAATCATTCGTGAACATTTCGTGAACAAAAATACACTGAATGCACGATGTAATACTGAAATTCATATCCAATTATTGCAGTTCAACATTAACATCGTAGTCAATTCATTATTGGTATTCTTACAATTCATGGAACGAGCAGTCTATCATCAGTTTTTGAAGATAACTGTACCGATCGTGAAGAACATATTCGAATCAATAATGATAATAATTAACGATATAATAATAACAGTATAAATTTATAATAATACAACCACAAAAAATAGTAATCGCACCTGGATCGCGAAAGTGACCATCACGTTTTGTGATGGGTCGTATCGGTTTGTCATTCGTGTCAACAACGATACAATTCTCTTCCATATACTTCAACTGATTATCATGAACGTCATGATTTTGAGTCGCCTGATTGTGAGCACTCGATACACTACTCAACGCACACAACGACTGTTTTGTTACATGACTACAAATCAAGACAATCATCTTGATACAATATTCCATCGAAGATTCATCAACAAATCGTCGCAATTCAATCAGAATATTACACTTTTTATCACGAATTCATCCTGTTTTAATGCGAAATTTTCTCTTGTGTTCGAACTCACAATAAATATTGCACCACCACTCCCACTCACAGAACGATTCGGATCATTATGACACGAATATAATAATGTGACAGAAGGCGATCCGTGAAAGCAAACCCATCCTACCCCGCGTTAAGCTTTATCAGATGCCTTCTGAGAGTAGATAAACTGAACGGATGCTTGAAAATAAGTGAAACATACCTTAAAGATTTTGTTAGCGAGGACATCTTTTTGAACAATTAATCTGAAACGAACAAACATCAACTTCAACATTAACTGAACGTGGATGAAGACATGGAAACGCACAAAAAAGTATCAATATAATTTGAAAGAATTCAAGAAACAACATTGAATAAATGCTCCGATTATCGCAACGGATCAAATATCGCTCTATTCATAACGATCAATCACTCACTGAAACGAATTCAATTTTATCTTAAATGCTCTAATAAATGATCAACAGATAATATTCATAATCGTATTCACATAATTGTAACCATTTTATAATGATCACCTAAAGTACATTCCTAATCAAACGCAATGCAATTTCATGCTCTTTCTCACAATCAATTAAAAATAACATCAACGCAATCAAAATTCCGAAATTTCAAAACAAGAAACAAATGAAAAACGCTCAAATTTCTTTGAAATGTTTCATTCTCAATCCAGTTTTGATTGATATCTTTTTTGGATAGGTTTTGCCAGTAAAATGATTTCATCATTTGATAAAACTCATACCTAAATAGAATTGGATACCGGTTATAACAATAACAATAGCAGTATGAAAAATAACTGATCACAGCCATAATAACGCTGATAACAATATTACTGATGATAACAGTAATGAAAACAGTGATGGAACCAAATGATAATAATGATTCAAGGTGGTGGCAGTCTTGACGGGTGTTCCTGACGATGTTCTCGCACACATGATAGCGAACAAAATCGATTCTCACTGTATTCGAATGGCTTCGCTGGAAGCACTGAACCACACTGCAAAAACGTTCAGCCGTATTTGTCATTTTGAGGCATTCAGAAGTACATTAGAATCAGTGCGTTCAGAACAAGAACTCATACATCACTACAATTTCGAACTGAAAATACGTCGTCGATGTGTTTTCGATCATCCAGTCAAAATACAACAAACTTCATTGCAATATCGTCATCATCTTCATTAACATAAGCAGTGCTCACTCAGTTCAATGGTGATATCATTACGTTGATTTTGATAACTCAAAACAAAAACTGACCTCAAAACAACGATTTCCATCGTCCGCGACAACAACGAGTCTTGTCTGAAGTGAAGCTGCCAATCGCCTTTCGGCCGCAATCGCACGTTTTTCACGATCTGACAGCGCCAAGAACTTTTCTTTCTCAGCCTAAAAAACGCGATCAACTTAATTATAAGGAGAATTTTCTAACTGTAAACAAACATCAACGAAAAAGGATGCACATAAATCATACTTATATGAACGTCACTGAACTTGAAACAATAATGTTATCATCGATGATGATAACACTCGCAATAACTGTAATTTCAATGATAATACTGATTTTGATAGCTCAACAATATCATCACAAATCAATCATTCAAAGTCAAATTTATCACCTGAATGGCTCTTTCGACTCGTTGCTCAGCCTTCTTCTCTTTTTCGCGTTGTCTTTTCCGTTCTCGTTGCAATCGCCTTTTTTCGAGTTCTTTCGCCAATTTCTCTTCACTCATTACGACCAATTCCGGTATTTGACTCTGATTCCAGTCGTACCTATCGACGTTTTCCATTCGATACTGACTGAACACTTGACGTGTCTCACGGTTTTGGGATACCTTTTGAATCATTATCATTACAATACCCATATCATTATTATCAACAAAATCGTCATTG